GCCAACTCAAGTTGCAACCAGAATCACGGAACGGATTAAGTTCATATCCCAAGGTACCACTGTATATTTCTGGTTTTGTTGAGCTAGATGAATTTCAGCCTTTCCCCAGCTTGGAACTGGGGTAAAGTAGGGATTCTGAAACTGTATCTACCCAACATACCAGAAGTGAACCGTTCTCAGAAGTGAAAATGACATGCATATACATACAGTACTGGGAAAAAGTTACAGTACTGTGCAAAATAAACAATTACAATATATATTTTTGAAAGCATTCTTACTATTACAATATATATTTTTGAAAGCATTCTTACTATTACAATATATATTTTTGAAAGCATTCTTACTTTACAGCATTTTTTCACACCTGCCTAAAACTTTAGCACAGTACTATATATCAAACAACAAACTTTCTTTCCAATTGCCTTCAGCTTTTTGGGTGGGAAGGGTGCCCACAAGCCTATAATATGTTTGTAATTTTGTAATTTCTACATGAGACTGCTGGGTGAGCTCATCTGTCGCCACAGGGTGAGGTATTATCAGTATGCTGATAATACCCAACTATACAGTCTCTACCTCTCTACCTAAGTGATGCTGTAGACGCCTTATCCTGATGTCTGGAGACTGTGAGGGTCTGGACGGGGAACAACAGACTTCAACTGAACCCTGGCGAGACTGAGTGGCTTTGGGTTTGGGGTCCTGCCTGTTCTGGGACTATACCATCTTTGGTGCTGGATGGGGTGGCACTGCCCCGGATAGACCCAGTGCGCAATCTGGAGGTTCTCCTTGACTTGTGACTCCTGCTCAAAGAGCAGGTGGTAGTCATGGCTAGGAGGGCCTTTACACAGCTTCGTGTTGTGTGCCAGTTGCACCCCTTCCTGGATCAGGAGGCTCTGCTCACAGTGACTCATGCCCTAGTCACCTCCAGATTGGACTACTGTAATGCGTTGTACATGAGGCTGCCCTTGAAGAGTATCCGGAAGCTACAACTGGTGCAGAATACAGCAGCAAGGGCAGTTATGTGTGTTCCTAGAACAGCACAGGTTACACCTCTGCTTTACAAGTTGTACTGGTTGCCAGTTTCTTTCCAGGTCCAATTCAAGGTGCTGGTTTTGACCTTTAAAGCCCTTCATGGCATGGGGCTGGCTTATCTGAGGGACTGCTTCTCCCTGATCACATCAGTCTGTCCCATTAGATCCAGCAGGGAAGGTATGCTACGCATTCCATTGGCCATGGACTTGCATTTGGTGGGTCCCAGGAGGTGGGCCTTCTCTGCTGTGGCTCCTTCTTTGTGGAACATTCTCCCTCTTGAAGTTAGGCTCGCCCCTTCCCTGCTGTCATTTAGGAAGTCCTTCAAGACCTGGTTGTGTCATCAGGCCTGGGG